AGAACCCTTAGACTCCCAGGCCTCTAGTAGAGGTGTTTTAGCCTGGTCTTTACCAGACCAACTTATACCAGATTGGCCACGGGTGTGCCTTTTAAGTGAAATCTAATTGTACCGTTACAGCCAAAGGGCACATGCGTGTATTGGAAAATAATCATATATGTTAATATTCCATTGTTAACCAATAGCGGGTGCTTTTTGTTATTATTTCTGTACTCGTTAAACATCTGCTGAGTGAGCACTCTGCTGGCAAGGAAATATAAACTGCGCACTCCTGCTGCGTGGCCGAGATTTAAGAGTCGGTTCCTTGCCAACGACGCCGCAGACTGAACAATAGTGCAGATGTTGATGTTTGCTTTTGGCAGCTGCAACGCTGGAATGTTTCTAATGTCTCAATATAAAGGCCAATACTCCTGGCGTTCAGAAAGCTGATATGTTTTCCCTACTGATACGCAACTAAGTTTAATGTGAAAATTACAACATGCTGAGGCCGGGAATGAATTTAACATACTGATAACATTGAAGAAGTTTCTTATTAGATTTATTAGATATGTAAGTTTAAGCATGCATGATTTTGGATGAAGAGATCATTTTCTTCCTCATTTTCCCCTTTTTCATCTTTGTACCCCATCCCTTATATATATTCCCTACTTTTTTTTTATTTATTAAAAACTATTTGCAAAGAAGGCAAGCCTGGCAGGGCTAGATAAATAATTATTATTATTATTTGTGTTCTATAATTCAATAAGAGCAATCTGTGCGTAAAACAATATATATATATCTGTAATGTAATATAAGAAATAGCTAGGATGCTATAATTATTAATTGTAAACGTTTACACAAATAAATTAATAGTTGCTAAAAGTGAACGGAATCAGTAGGAGAATCTGTTGGTTGCTGTTGTGATTGCCCGACTTTTCCATTTTCATTGAGGCTTGATGGTAAGTCCTCAAATGATTTTATAGTCTAGTTATTGATGAGATTAATCAAGTAATTCAAACATTTTCAGTCTCCCTCTCAGAGGTATTTTGCTACATGGATCTGTTCTCCACTCTATTCTGAATACAATCACGGGTAGGAACATTCCTGTCTCTCAACCGACGGGCCCTTTTGAAGCTAAATTTTTTAATCCATATTGATACTAATGCAGACCAAACGTATCAGTAGAAGTTCAGTCTATTAGAGGTTCAGGGCAATATGGATGCCATCATACACAATTAACTCCTCTTTCCCGATGTTTCCAGAAGCTGCAAATATCCTATAATTCTCTGTCTGTCGCCTCCAAATTTTCCTGCTACCGCTTGTCTCAGCTCCCCATTTAATCTTTGGATTGTAAGCACACAGGCTATCCAGCAGAGTACTTTGTATATAAGAGCTTCAATGGCTAGATCTGAGCTTACATGGAGGACCCTCTTTACTATTGGTCTGTGTATATTGTACAATTATTTGCACAGCGCTGCGGATACGTTGGCACTTTATAAACACCTGTAACAGCAATAATAATTATTAAGAAAAATAGGAAATATTTGGTTAAGAATAAAAACAATAAAAAAACAACAGGGTCATCATATATCACAGGGTGAGGACTGGCGAACCTGGAAGGTTTGGGGTAATGGTCAGCCTGGAAGAAGTGGCAGATGAGAAACCTGTTTCAGCCCAAATAAATAACAATCACTTCTTAGTAAATGTACCCACAATTAATTAACTAGACCTTCTGTGGCTGTCCAATCACAGACTATTCAATGGAGCTCAATGAGAAGTCATTGCAAGGCAGGTGCTCTTGGCAGTTGGTAGTTGCTGCCATCTCCACTGAGCTAAACAAACCAGGAAGTAACAGGACCAGTTGTCTGACTGACATCTAAGGGGGTGTAACCAGGTTAATTTATAAAAGTGCCAGTTTCTATTAAAATCTACACTTTTTGTAAAATTAAAAGAGGACACACTCTTCACACATAAAGCCCTTTAACTCCTTATATGCTAAGGTTTTTCATATGATGTGACTATATCCATTTAGACACTTTAGTTATGTGCTTATTCCATAAGTTCACGGTTTCTTACTAAATACCTTCATATATTCTATATGTAGCTCAGGTGTGCGGACACTATATACACGCAGCATACCTCCCTGTGCAGGTCAATGCCGCAAGTTCTCTGGTTAGTATATAGCCCCCATGATTATTCAGTATATTTAGCAATATATATGAAGTGTTACTGGAGCGGAATGATCATTGGGAGCATTTCCCAGCTACTTCAAGGCATGTTTCTCCTAATTATATTAATACAGATTCATACATCAGAAACAATGTATCAAATATGTGTTTTTGACTTAATTAAAACAATTTGTGATTCATTAAATGTTTCATTATAGACAAATGAGAGCAATTTTTCTGCGCATTTAAAACCAAGAGATAATATTTGGTTTAAGGGCTTATAATTATTAAAAAGCTTTGATGGAGCGTCCTGTAATTACAATCCATTCTCTCTCTATTGTTTTGTGACAATCATTTATCACAAATGCTTCCAGCACCAGACATTCTAGATTCTCATTCAGGCTCGGAACCAGATATTCTAGAATCTCAGCGCTGCGGAAGCCGGAAGAACAATCATGAAACTGGATGATTATCTTACTGTTTATCAAAAGTAAAATACTATAAATAAAAAATATTCAATTAATCAAATATGACAGAAGGTCATAAATTCACAAATCTAAAAAATGGATCATTTCCGTTTTTTTTTCTTTAGGCTGGTCGCTTCCTCAATTTCGATATTATATTAATAAAACATAACATTCTGGCCCCTGTATTGTCCACTCAGCTTTTGGTGAGCAGGTTGTGGTTGGAAACATAAAGAGAGATGTCGTTCATCAATAACTGGGTAGCGAAGGATTCATCCTCTCCTGCTGTGGAAACTACTCAGTAGCTTATTCACTACAGCATGAGAATTAAGGGGGAAAAAAATATGTTTATTGTAAGATAACTGAACTGGACAATGTTTATGGAGCTGTTTTTATGGGGTAAATTAATTACTACAAACTCTATGACCACTTAAGTAGTCACAGTGCTTTGAAGTGGTTATGGTGCTTTAACTCTGCATGTGCAGAAAGAAAAATTACACATACAGATATAATGCACTTTGCTTTGATACGTGTACCTCTCACAGGTTCACTAGTAGCCAGGAACAAGATATTTAATCTGATAACGTTAAAACTGTGCATTAAAGGTGTCTGCATTTCGCACACATACCATGCAAACAATGTATGGTCAATAGTGTCATGGGGTCCCCACCATCAGCCAGGCATTAGGGATGTCACTCCCCTTGCAGGAAGAACTTGGCCTTGGTGAGAAATTGCAGAGCCTCCAATAGCCCATGTATGTGATTAAAGTTCAATTAACAGAGAAGGACGTTCTAAAGAGTAGAACTTCTAAAGTAAACACACTGTGTTGTGAGATCTGATTGAAAATGAAACAATGTTTTCATGCAGGTTGCATGAGTCACACCGAGGGGAGGTGCGGCTAAGTCAGCATAAACAGAAACAAAAGTGAACTAAACGGCAGAAAATTGAGAGGTGAGACTGCAGGGACAAAATCTATACACAGAAACGGCTTAGTTTTATTACTTGTCCCTTTAACAGGTTAGTTAATACACCTTCCTAAGCCCTACACAGAGAACCCAGCATATAACAAATACCCCACCACTCAGTGGATACAAAGACTTCTTCATCAAAGCAATGCTGGAGCACTGTACTCTCTGCCAGAAACAAGGAAGCTAAATCACAAATATAATCATCAGCCTATCAAATCCTCCGAGCATATAATCTGGCATTATCCTATAATAGGGAGGAAAAAACGTCAATTAAACCTAATTGGAGCATGCAGCTGTTTCATTTAAATGAATACAAAAATAACTGTACCTTTGCTTTAGGAACACAAAAGAAATTGGTCTAGATGAATATTCTTGATCTTGGGTAGAACATTGGCTTAAGGATAGAGTACAACGAGTTGTAATTAATGGTACATTTTCAGGCTGGACAAAAGTGGTAAGTGGTGTCCCTCAGAGTTCTGTTTTGGGACCGCTTCTATTTAACATATTTATAAATGATCATGAAATAATTATTGATAGCCATGTTTTAGTGTTTGCAGATGACACAAAACTTTGCAAAGTATTAAAATGTGAGCAGGACATTGCTTTGCTGCAGAGGGATTTGGATAGATTGGGGGACTGGGCACTAAAATGGCAGATGAAATTTAACGTAGAGAAATGCAAAGTTATGCACTTCGGGGTTAAGAATGCACAAGCAACTTACACACTAAATGGTAGTGAATTAGGGATAACCACACACAAGAAGGATTTGGGAATTGTTATAGATAACAAATTAGGCAGCAATATGCAGTTGCTAAGGCCAGTAAGATTTTGTCATGTATAAATAGGGGCATAAATTCTCGGGATGAAAATATAATTTTGCCTCTTTATAAATAGCTGGTAAGATCACACCTTGAATATGCTGTGCACTTTTGGGCACCTGTTCTAAAGAAAGATATCATGGCACTAGAAAAAGTCCAGAGACAAGCTCCAAAATTGATAAAAGGAATGGAGCATTTTAGTTATGAAGAAAGGTTAAAAAATGAAATCTGTTTAGTTTGGAAAGAAGGCGCCTAAGAGGGGATATGATAACTTTATAAAAATATATTCGGGGCCAGCACACACCTTTATCTGGAAATCTATTCATAAACAGGGCTATACATAGGACACAAAGTCACACATTTAGGCTGGAACAAAGGAGATTTCATCTAAGGCAAAGAAAAGGTTTTTTTTTACAGTTAGAGCAATAAGGATGTGGAATTCTCTGCCTGAAGAGGTGGTTTTGTCAGAGTCACTACAGATGTTTAAACTGCAATTGGATAAATACTTACAAAAACATAACATACAGGGATATAATTTCTAATTAGTGGGGTAATAGCTGCTTGATCCAAGGAGACATCTGACTGCTATTTTGGGGTCAAGAAGGAATTTTGTTCCTAGTTTGTGGCAAAATTGGAAGCGCTTCAGACTAGTTTTTTTGCCTTCTTTTGGATCAACAGCAACACATATGTGAGGAAGGCTGAACTTGATGGGCGCAAGTCTCTTTTCAGCTATGAAACTATGTAACTATGTAACACACTGCACAAAAACCGTGCTAATAGCGTCACACAAAGCGGTTTATTTCCATCCATATTATACGAATCACTTTGCAAATCACTGAACCAGGAACACAGCCGCAGTGACAATAAAACACAACATTCTGCTCACAGGTGTCCCATAAAGGGGAGTTTATTCCCGAAAAAACTCATTGTCACAAACTGAAACCAGAATTGCAACATTTAGGAAGATGAGACTACAGTCCGGTTTAAGGTTTTTTATTACCAAATCGACACATTTTGTCCACAGTTTATCAGTAAAGTGTGACTTGTCATGAATTCAAATGGAAAGTGAATTTAAAATTTCAATAAAAATACTTATCCATATCAGCTATGATTTCTGCTACCTTTGCCTAACCTTTGAAATTCACTTTAATTTCTCAACAACTCACACTTTAGTAAGTAGCCCTGCTAGTTTCCTTGTGCCATTCATTTAAAAGGAATCCCCCTCATGAAAGCAGGATTGTTATAGAGTACTTTATTCATTGAACAAAACAGGAAAAATAGATTTCATTAATGTGGAAGTACAAAGTTCAGCTTCAGCAATATCTAAAGAGGGGCCTGTGTACAGAGGGGCCAGGAAAATGTCAAACTATTCAGAAACTGGAGGATGGCATCAGTGTCAAACCATATGAAAACTGCGCAATAGAACCAGAGGACTCCTCGGACCATAACCACTAAGGTGCACAAGATTGACTTGTGTTGGCAACTTCCTCCACATTTTACATAGTGATATCTTCTGAAAAAAGATTCAAGTCCATCGAGTTTAGCATTTCTCATGACTGTTTTTGCTGATAATCCAAAAGTAGGTGAACAGAGAAAGGAAAGTTTTGTGTTGACAGAAGACATTGTTCTTTATGGTAAGAACAATGAAGGTGCACAAGTGTGTGTCTAAAGAGCTTGTTTTATCAGATAAATTCATGTGCGGGGGAACAGATTGCGTATATAAGGAGAAATCTGATTTCCACTTTGATATCAAGAAGGATTTTTTCCCCCCATTTTGCAGCAAAATCACCACATTTCAAATTGTCCATTCCCCGTATTAAATTTATAGCCCACCTCTGCACTGTTTCAACTTTTGTAACACCATTCTTTTAAACATGTGGCCAGAATTATAGCACATATTCAAAGAGGGGTCTTTGATCTATAAAGAGGCAGGATTATATATTTTTCTTGTTGATTAATACTCATTTTTATGCTTGACGATACCTTACTGGTATCAGCAACTGCTACCTGTCCTCATTTAAGTATACGTTGCTTGTGCATTACTTGACCCAAAGTGCATTAATCTACACTAAACCTCACCTGCTGATTGTCTGCCCAATCCCTTAATGTATCCAAGTCCACCTGCAGCTATGCAATAACCTGCTCTCACTATATCCCCTCATCAAGCTTTGTGTTATCTGCAAACACTGACACATGACTTTCAATGTCCATTGCAAGATTATTAATAAACAGATTATTTTGCTATACAGCGATGCAGCACCAAACTGTTATTTTTCATACTGTAAAGAAATGCTAAGAATCTTTAAACATCGATATTCCATTATGGCCATTTCATTTTATTATGGACCGGTTTCTTACAAAACGGGTATTTTAAATCTAAACTTACATGAACATAACTTGTGAAAAACAACTAGAGAAAGGTCACTGGAAAACCTCGCCAGCAGTAATACCAAACGTACCCCGAGAAGCCAACACGGCAGAGCTATATTTTACTAACCGAGTGTGTAATCTGGAGAAAATGCCTCCCAGCACACAACACTCTTCTTACAGCAAGTGAAATAGAAAATGGTCTCTCTCTCTGGAGAAAAACACATTACCAGCAAACAACAGAGAAGAAACCAGCTGGGGACATTATGTATAATAATTGTAATGTGAGAGACTGAAAAATAAGTCTCTCTGTGAGCACTACATGGAGTTGAATATAGTCCTAATGTTGGCAGACATGGAGAGAACAGGCTTGATTATATTCTGTTGCTCTATTCCGCTGTTTAGACAGACATACAGACAGACAGACAGGTGGACATTTTAATAGGGGGAAGAAAAGATAAAGTGCACTGGTGGGGTACAGACAATAATGGGAGAATTCAGTGAATTGATATGAGCAGGATGGTCTGATGGGCACTGATAATCAGAAGCTTGGGAAGAGAATGGAACTATGGAAGGTCAAGGAAAGTGTTAGTGAATAGCTGGGATTTCAGGAGTGAGTAAATGGCGAGGCAGGTGGCACAAGATGATTGGGTAGCTTGGTTCAGATGAAGGATGAACTGAGCAAGGAAGTGGTGAAGGCAGGGTTGTGGAGGTGTTTACGTTTAAAGCAGGGCAATCATAGAGAGATAGGAAGGTTACAGATCATTTTCAGCAAGGAGTTTAAAAATCACTCTGTGGTGTGTGGGGTTTTTATAAAAGGACAACAGCAGATTTAGAAGGGTACACATGCATTTAGAATTTGGTGAAGTGACCTTGCAATGAATGAAGCATGAGATTGGAAAAGTTATGTCTAGTAACAACAAGGAAGCATGAGATTGGCACAGTCATGTTTTATAATAAACAAAGTGTGAGATTGGCACAGTCATGTTTTATAATAAACAAAGTGTGAGATTGGCACTGTCATGTCTAGTAATGAATGAAGTGTGAGATTGGCATTGTCATGTTTTACAATAAACAAAGTGTGAGATTGGCATTGTCATGTCTACTAATGAACAAAGTGTAAGATTGGCACTGTCATGTCTAGTACACTTAATCTTTCCAGCCTTGTGTTTAAGAGCTTTTCTGGGAAGCTCCCACCCTACCTGAGTGCTCTCCCCAGCTGTTCCCACTTCCTATAACCTCCGATCCAGTACCAGCACTTTATTTAGTCTACCTCAATACAAAAAGAAAGCAGCCCGATCCTCATTTTCCTACAGAGCACCGCAATTATGGAACAACCTCCCGCACACTTTCAAATCTTCCCCAAGCCTAAAGTCCTTTAAGAGATCCCTCTCTACATACCTCTAAACAGAATGCACCTGTCATGGTTGATAATATATTTCCTACCTGTTCTATGTTACATTTTGTATATATTGTGTATTAATATTGTTTTTGTATTTTATTGTACCCTACTGTATCAATTCAATGTTTTGTGGACCTATGACATTAAAAACGAGATTAATCTCAATGTATCTTTCCTGGTAAAATATTTTATAAATAAATAAATGTCCAGTAATGAATAAAGCGTGAGATTGGCATTGTCATGTCTAGTAATGATGAGGAAGCGTGGGATTAGAATAGTCATGATTAGTAATAAACAAAGTGTGAGATTGGCAACGTCATGTCTAGTAATGAACAAAGTGTGAGACTGGCATTGCCATGTTTAGTAATGAACAATGTGTGAGATTGGCATTGTCATGTCTAGTAATGAACAAAGTGTGAGATTGGTACAGTCACGTCTAGTAATGAATGAAGTGTGAGATTGGCATAGTCATGTCTAGTAATGAATGAAGTGTGAGATTGGCATTGCGATGTCTAATAAACATAAAGAAGCCTTGAGCTGCAGTAATTCAAGCTTTGTGAATTTCAGGGAGTAATATATTACGATATTCATGCCTAGTAATGATAAGAAAGCATGATACTGCAGTAGTAATGCATTGTAACAGTGAGGGGGTATTAGATTAGTAGTGACAGCGTATTAATTAGACTGCAGCATTTTGTCTAGTAACGATCATAGAGTATTAAGATTACAGTATTCATGCCTAGTAATAATAAGGGAGTATTAGATTTCAGTATTCATGCCTAGTAATGATAAGAAAACATGATACTGCTTAGATTACAGTATTCATGCCGAGTAATAATGAGGGAGTATTAGATTACAATAAATTATACCTAGTAATAATGAGGGAGTATTAGATTACAGTAAATTATACCTAGTAATGATGAGGTGGTATTATATTACACTAGGCATTCCTAGTGATGATGAGGTAGCATTACATTACAGTATTCATTCCTAGTAATGATGAGATAGTATTAGATTACAGTATTCATGCCGAGTAATAATGAGGTAGTATTAGATTACAGTAAATTATACCTAGTAATGATGAGGGAGTATTAGATTACAGTATGCATGTTGAGTAATAATGAGGTGGTATTAGATTACATTATGCATGTTTAGTAATAATGAGGTAGTATTAGATTACAGTATTCATGTTTAGTAATAATGAGGTAGTATTAGATTACAGTATGCATGTTGAGTAATAATGAGGGAGTATGAGATTACAGTATTCATGTTGAGTAATAATGAGGTAGTATGAGATTACAGTATGCATGTTGAGTAATAATGAGGGAGTATTAGATTACAGTATGCATGTTGAGTAATAATGAGGGTGTATTAGATTACAGTATGCATGTTTAGTAATAATGAGGTAGTATTAGATTACAGTATGCATGTTTAGTAATAATGAGGGAGTATGAGATTACAGTATGCATGTTGAGTAATAATGAGGGAGTATGAGATTACAGTATGCATGTTTAGTAATAATGAGGGAGTATTAGATTACAGTATGCATGTTTAGTAATAATGAGGGAGTATTAGATTACAGTATTACAGTATGCATGTTTAGTAATAATGAGGTAGTATTAGATTACAGTATTCATGTTTAGTAATAATGAAGGAGTATTAGATTACAGTATGCATGTTGAGTAATAATGAGGGAGTATTAGATTACAGTATGCATGTTGAGTAATAATGAGGTAGTATTAGATTACAGTATTCATGTTTAGTAATAATGAGGGAGTATTAGATTACAGTATGCATGTTGAGTAATAATGAGGTAGTATTAGATTACAGTATTCATGTTTAGTAATAATGAAGGAGTATTAGATTACAGTATTCATGTTTAGTAATAATGAGGGAGTATTAGATTACAGTATGCATGTTTAGTAATAATGAGGTAGTATTAGATTACAGTATTCATGTTTAGTAATAATGAGGGAGTATTAGATTAAAGTATGCATGTTTAGTAATAATGAGGGAGTATTAGATTACAGTATGCATGTTGAGTAATAATGAGGTA